ATACGCACGATCTTGTCCTTTTTCATGTCGTGACACGCGTGACATTAGCGTGACGTATAATTTTCTCTTGGCTTCAGGTTATCAAAGACTTCAAATCGATTCATTCGAAGATTACCCTGGAAGACTTGAAAGATTACAAAGCCGTTGAAGTGAAACCATTGGAAGCCTCCCTCCCTGGGGTAAAGGGATACAAAATTCTGACCACCCCACCCCCTGCAGGTGGTGCAGCCTTGATAAACATCTTAAACATTCTAAATGGTGAGCGTATTTAACGGTTGTTTAGATACAGGCGTTACGACGCTATGATACAGTTACATGGGAAACACTAACTACAGTTTGTGTAGAAATGAAAAAAAAAAGCTAGGAGTATTTCTACACCTGTAGGATTGGATGTTAGCCAGTCTTAGGATTGACAAAAAAGTTATAGCTTAAACAAAAGTGATATTTAATCAATTCTTTGTGATACGCAGCGAGAAATTTATTGCCTTTTGTCCTGTGTGTTTGCGCGTACAGGGTTTAATTTCAGTGCAGATGACATGAGGGAGCGACCTATTCTAACGTATCACCGCATGATTGAAGCATTCAACTTTGTAGCTGCTAAAGAGACGTACCTCGCGGATCCCAGGTTCAGTGATAAGACTGATGAGGTAGGAAATACCTTCTAAGTTACAGATAACGTTTCACAAGACAAGGTCCCCTACCGGCCCATTCCTCAGTCCTTCCGTTTCCGTTGCACGAAGCGACTTACATTTTTGCTATTCCCCCACCCCTCCGAGGATAGAATGCCACTCCAAAGCAGGTCNTTGTGTGACCATTCAAATGAAAGCTGTTGAGCAGTACTTTTATGTGGTACTGTTTATTATGTTGTATAAGGTGGTTCTAACTTTTAAGTCTGTGGATGAAACCCTAGTGTGTGACCATTCAAATGAAAGCTGTTGAGCAGTACTTTTATCTGGTACTGTTTATTATGCTGTATAAGGTGGTTCTAGCTTTTAAGTCTGTTGATGAAACCCTAGTGTGTGACCATTCAAATGAAAGCTATTGAGCAGTACTTTCATGTGGTACTGTTTATAACGCTGTTGTGACACGCCCAAAGAAGGTAACAGAAATTTTCGCAGCATACGTAAAATTTCCACCTAAAGAAACTCGGTTTACTTTATTTTCTAGCTTCGGATCTAAAATGCTCAGCACGGAGCTTGGAATAATCTACAACGATCAACTATGGGATGCAGTGAACTTGTGGGTAAATGAATTCAATCTTGAAACGGACTCACTCAAGCCTCGTAAACGCCCCATGTCTCTTGCTTCACCATCCATCATCACAGATGGTGATGGCAACGTTAGAATGGTTATCGGAGCTGCTGGAGGGAAATATATCGCAACTGCTTTATCACAGGTAAATAAATGCGGTATATTAAACGGCGGCGCCAAGATATAAATGTTATTTTCGAGTGGTAAAAACAATATTTTACGAAGGAGCGCAGCGAGTAAGTAAATTATTGTTTTTAAGACGACAAAATAAAATTCATATCTTCAAGCCAACGAGTAACTTTTTGATTATATAGGCAAACCGACTGTTTGCACAAACAACCACTGACATAAGGGTTCGATCGTTATTTTCGGGCGTTATTTTCCTTTCTAACTTTATTTCGTTTGTGTAGGTATTGATGAATTATTTCTGGTTTGGAGACAATCTGAAGGACGCTGTATCTAAGCCTCGTCTTCATAGTCAGTTGTTTCCAAATATGGTATTAGTTGAACCCAACTTTCCAAAGAAGTACATCAAAGCATTAAAGGGATATGGACACAAGAAAATCACGGATGATACCACCTTATTTACAGGTGAATAAAGTCTTGTTTCTATTTTTCAACTTCTTTTATTATTTATTTTTTCTTCTACAAGGAATAACTTTAATCAAAATGCAAGACTCTATGACTAAGGACCCGTACGCACTACGCGGGAGAAATTTGAAATCGCAGCTTTATTTCTACGATTAGGCCTACCGTCCACACTAATCCGTCACGAAAACGGAGCT